CACTACTGCTACCTTCGCGGACCTCTCAACGAGAGTTAGGCGAACATCTGCTTATCCCGCACGGAAGAGCGCCATGCATGCCACGCACACTGTCCTGGCTGACATGGGGAAGGAAGGACCCGTTTGGACAGTCCACTTGCGCGGAGGTCTCGGGGCCCCGCATGTGCATGCCGGTTTGAGCGGGTAGTTGGCTGGTGGCGGCGGCACATTGTCCCGCTCGGCATGAAAAGCTTCCTCGATCAGGCGGGCGCCCCAGGTTAGCTCTTCAAGGGTCTCAAATTTTCGGTTGATGAGGTAGACGGGGTATCTTGGGTGGCACCGTCTTTGGACCCGAGCTACTCTGTCCGACTCCGGTGACTTCGGGTTTGCACTCGCGAAGAGCTCTTGCATGACCCAAACGTACCGGACCAGACTTTCTTCCGGGTGCTGGGTCCTTCCCTCGAGCTCTCGAAGAATCTGCGTTGCATTCGCGACTCCAGCGACCTATAGTGGGCGCCAACACTAAACAAACATGGCGGCTGGGTCCAGGTCGCGTCGGCTCGGCCGAGCGGGCTGAACGGGTGGCGCATTCAATTTAACAGATTTTCTTTTGTTTAATGCCCAATTTTACTGGTATTTGAACTGCGACGGTTAAGTTTAGCCGGTGCACATAAACTTGCAGATCATAGTTTTGTTTTCCCGGTGTTTTTTCTTCTTTCCATGTAAAGCTTTCGTTTCGGAGATATCGTTCAAAACCGAAACTATGGGCTCCGGAGAGACGGTAAAAGACTCTAATCACTTTTGATCAGCTAAGGAGAGCGGCGATGACTACAGAATCGTTCCACCAAGAGTAATTTACAGACAACTCACATGCCTCAACCATGCGACTTATCTGTCCGCGAAATCGAGCACTTGTGCGTATCCGTGATTAAGAAACAGCTCTAGTCGTCTTCTCGGTCAACAACGCAGGCTGTAGGAAAATTACGAAAAAGAAGCGAGTGCTTCTTGATCTAAGGAACATGTTAACCTGCTGGCACCCCACTAAGCAGCTGATACCCGTATTTCGATTCAGGTTTTAGTAGCAATCGAGAGTCATTTTGACGAACATGCGAGCTAAGTATTATATTACGTACTATGCCCCACTAAAGAGACTTTAGTATATTCTTCGGGTTGAAATATGAGCTTAGTTAACTAGCTATGAATTGAACTGCTGGATAAAAATACATTTGACCGACAGAGAGATACTACTTAAATACAGCCAAATGGCTGTAGCCGGTAGCACGACGACGCATGCGGACAAACTGAAGAGAGTGTTCATTGGAGATTCACACAGAACCTCTCTGTATTGAACTTGACTTTACATACCCCTTTCCATCAGTCTCGTCTGTTTTATATGCACTGGGGTCTGCGCGGATATTCACAACCCTCGACTGTAGTAGAGGATTATTGCAAATTCCCGTAGCAAGAATTGACGTCCCTAAGACAGCATTTGTTTGCCCCAGGGGTCTGTTCGAATTTGTCAGTCTCCCCTTCGGCCTATCTAACTCCCCTGCGAGCTTCCAGAGGCTCATGGATACAGTCTTGGGTGACGCAAAGTCTAACTATGCAATGGCCTACATGGACGACGTAATAGTGCTGTCTAATACTATCGAGGACCACCTTCACCATTTGCAGGTCGTCCTGAAGCGCATGAGTGAAGCTGGTCTCACAATTAACCCGTCAAAAGTGCAACTTGCATCACCCAAAGTGGAGCTTCTTAACTTCGTGGTCGACCAAGGATCCCTCCAGCCGCAAGCAGAGAAGCTCAGAGCAATTATAGAATTTCCCCAGCCACGAGACAAAAAAAGTTTACAACGGTACCTTGGCATGGTGGGATTCTACCGCGAGTTTATTGCCAACAGCGCTGATTTGGCCCGGCCCCTTCACCAGCTATTACGCCGGGAGGTTCCATGAACCTGGACTTCCGCTCAGGAACAAGCGTTTAAAACGTTAGCAAGCGCTATTGCGGATACTGCATCTCTGAAACTTCCTAATCTCAATGCTCCATTCGTCCTCCAAACGGATGCCAGTGATTACAATACACACCTTTTCATTTCTGTAGTTCTCGGACCGACCCACAGGGGCGCTGGCGCTGCAGCCGCCATAAGGTTGCTTCAAATCGGCGTGGTTGCTGCTGTGGCGCAGTGGGGTTGTGTGGAGAGCATTCCGTTTCAGCGCCTTTTCCCAGCCTCTAACAGCACATGAGTGCCATAGGAAAGAAACAAAGCTCGTACCGGGCCGGTAAGACATGTTCCGTCGTAGGCTGCAAAAATTGCGGAGGTTTTTTGAAGGCGTGGAACGCCTCCACGTGCGAAGTACATGCGTCGCTGCTACATCAAGACTGCCCGTGCCTGCAGCCATATGCCTTGTACTGCTTTCCCCAAGGCGAGAAAAACGAGGAAACTCGACGGTAAGTGGGTCGCAAACCTGCAGCGGAAAAATCTGAACCCCAGCAAGCATGCAAAGGTTAGTACGGCACGTGTTAACGGACTTTGCCCGACAACGCGGCCGCCGTTTCCGTAGACGGACCCTGCTCTTGGGGGTGGGGTCGAAACAGGCAAACAGACTTTAAATGAACCCGTAGCCATCTCATGGGGGATCAGGTTCCTAATTATTTTCAGACATCGCTGGTTCGGAAGGTAATGGTAGCCGGTACAGAACGCGCGTGTACACGAACACCAGCACGAGCCTCTCGCTCGTGAATTAAAAACCTAGAATCGTGAAGAGATTATTTGCGAATTTCCCAATCACCCTGGGGCACGCGACGAATGTAGTCAGACACGCTGCACGCGCTCGCCTTACGTGTACTAGATTTGAAGTAAACGAAAATGAGGCGACGACGAACACGCGTGCAACATCTTAGTTGATCTAGATCTCTCAACCATTACTGCTGCAAACGCCATCGCGCGTACCTAGTACAATCCCCGCATGCACCTCGATTCAATTTCCAAAGTTTGTATATGCTTGGTGTTGTGAACGCCTTTGATTTAACCTCTGTCAACATCTTCCACAAATAGGTCAGGTGTAAACAGTACATTGATAATAGCATAACTTACCTATCGACCATGCTAACATTAAGACGGTACGCTCACACTATAACTGATATATGTTCACATCAACAGGTTTGCTCCATTCACTTCGTTGAAGGTAGGCCGACTGAGACAAATCCATACCCGGCATTGAACTTGAGGACTACAAATGAGGTAAGCTCCGGTGACAATTCTGACTTTTGGAGTCAAATGGACACACTACTTCCTTTTAAAGCATGCCATCAAAAGTCGCTTAATGAAAAATATTAGGGCTCAACTATTTCACAGGTACAGTGGGTCTGTACTGTAAAACATGCTCGAGGTATGAAACATTGTACTGTATGAATTATGTCTATCTACAAATAAATTACCATTCAGAGCACCAGGATTTGCCACTTGGTAAAACAAAAAGTGCATGTGCAAATTGCAGACATTTGAGTGTGGGGGTGCTGGAAACACTTTAAACCTTGGCAAAACAATTTGATCCATAAAAGCAGGCACCGACGAGGCAGAATGTGGACATAGACAGCACTGATCGTTTCACTGCCTGTATTCCATTTTTCTCCCCAGTCCAAGCTTAAGTGTGGTTATTCACATTTCTATGTTGATATAACTGTTCCAACATCATTTGCATCTTTTATTTGAAGGTCGCATAAAAGAGGGGAAGGCGCAAGCAACCCCGGCGCCCACTCTCAAGACATGCAGCACTGGCTACACCCGCTGGTGTGCACTCAAGCAGCGCGCTGTCCAACTTGCCGCCAGCTCTGCTTCAAACTCCACCCCAATCTCCACCTCAAGCTCCACCGTCTTTGGTTGTGGATTGTGGTGCCCCCCAAGGGGAGGATATTGACGTACATGAACTATCACCAAGCCCAACTCTTGCCCCCCAATGCACTTGCAGTAGTGGCATCCGGAAGGCAGAAGTTGGTATACAGTGCGAAGTTGGACAGTAGATGGACCACTCGTACTGTACACCAATCTCCTCTGTTGTGGTAACCAGAGCTACACGTGCCACACAAACGGCATTTTCAGTTTGTGACACTTTGCCTGCCAAAAAATTCCGGTTTTTCACAGGTCTATCAAAAGTACTGTTTGAAGAATACACCAGAGTTGCGTCGTCAGAGGCAAAAATGACTTGTAAGCTTGCTGTGAATGACCAGATTTTACTTACTCTCATGAGGCTTAGGTTAGGGTTGTTGCTCGTAGATCTCGCATTCCGCTTCCAGGGCTCTGTAGGTTTGGCAAGCAAGATTTTCAAGTTTTGGATTCATGTACTTGCAGATATTTCGCGCAAGTACCTAATTATATGGCTACCACAAGAGACGATAGCCTCAACGCGTCCGTCAGTGTTCGGAGATTTTCCACGTACAACATGCATAATCGACTGTTTCGAAATATTTGTTGACAGGGCACAAAACATGCTAAAGAGAGGGCGGACGTACAGCCCCTACAAAAGTCACAATACAGCCAAAGTTCTCCATGTGATCGCATCAAATGGCTTTATAATGTTTATCTCAAAAGCCTATGGAGGCCGTGCAAGTGACCGGTTCATAACCTCATACTCTAGGCTGCTGAGATGTCTTCTGCCAGGGGATCAAATCTTAGCAGATAAAGGCTTTACCATTGAAGACATGCTGCCTTATGGAGTTAAACTGTCACTTCCTTCATTCAGAAAGCAGAAAAAGCAGCTCTCGGATGCTGAAGTGGTTTACTCGCGTCGCTTGTCTAAACTGCGGATTCATGTTGAAAGGTCCATTCGCCGCGTGGAGTGTTTTCAGTTTTTGAAGTATATACCCTCGTCGATCTTTGCAAGAAGCAATTGTATTGACAACACCTTGACTGTCATCGCAGGGATCTGCAATCTGCGGCCATCGCTTATTAAGGAAGACTGAAATAAATGTCACTCGTAAGCAGTGGTCCTTCTGGTGAATGTTTACTTTTTTGGCACTTTGGCATTTCAGAAACCTGCATGCTGGTCAACAAGTGCCGGCAGGTAATGTTCGAAATAAAGTGATTTCAGTTTTGGGAGCAAGCTCTCAATGAAGGCCTTGTTATATGGCACTTTAGCAACGTAGCCCTTCTTCTCTGCAAATACCACAAAGTCACATGAGTGTTGCCCAGAGCAATACAGTTGTAGCTGCACTTGCGTGTAATATGCATTTTTCCCCTTGGGCGAGAGTATAAGATCTGGGCCATCATACCTAACTTCATACTTGCCAGATGCAAAAAGGCACTCTAGAGAGCCATACTTTTTTAGAGTGTCTGGTGTCGGGCATTTGATTTCAACTAACACGTTGCCAGCTGCTTTCAGGCCACCTGGGCTGGCCGCCAGCCATGGGTTTCCTTCGTGGACGGTCAAGCCGCAGAGCCGTATTACGCAGTCCTGGTCATCTTCATACCAAGCCCTGGCTTTCGGCTCGGTTTTCCTGCCATGTCTGCCAAACATAACGAAAACAGTAAATTTATCAGCACCACTGCTCACGCTCTCTGCACTTTTCGACGCCAAGCTGACAGGGCAACGAAAGCAGCACGGTCAAGCCTTCTTTTGAAGGCTTGACATTGCTCCCTGCACGTGAGTATGCGCAGACACAATGCAAAACCATTGGCTAACTGGTCCAACAATCACGTAACTTCCATTAGCAGAGCAGTGAACGAAGTAAAGCAGCGAATCGATTATTAGGAAATGCTTGCTTATTCTGATACTAGCATGTAGCCGTCCGTGGCCTGGGACCTGTTCAGTCTGCTCAATTATCCACTTACTTCAAATCGTATTAAAGTCCGAAAAGTCAAATGGCTACTTTATAACGCGTATCATGTTGTAAAAATCTTTTTTATTGACACCTTGAAGCAATCTTCATGCTGAAGTAATCAGTTTTAGTGCCTGCACCCAAGCATTCTGCACTCCCATGCCCAATGCATCTAAAATGTTTTTTTTTCTTTTATGAATTCTTCCACCACCACATTAGCCTAGCAGCGAACGAAGTAAGGCAGTGAATTGATTTTTCGGACATGCTTGCTTATTCTAATATTGGCATGTAGCCGTTGGTAACATTGGGGCCCGTTCAGACTGCCCAATTATTCACTTATTCCGAATCGCATCAAGGTCCGAAAAGTCGGACGGCTACTTTGTAATGGGCATCATGTTGTAAAAACCTTTTTCATTGACACTTTGAAGTGTTCTTCATGCTGAAGTAATCGGTTTTAGTTCCTGTACCCAAGCATTCTGCACTCCCATGCCAAGTGCATTTGAAATCAAAGTCAAATTTGGGAGTTTTACGAGCCAAACCAACGACGGGCATCTGGCACGCCTCAGCGGAGGACTGAGGATTAATTCCGACCACCTGGGGATCTTTTGACGTGCAACCGAAAGCTCGGTTGCACGGCGCCTTCTCCGCAATAAGCCTCCGTCAGATTGCGAGCACCTCGGCCGGAATTCGAACCCGCCACATGGGGATCCGTAGGCCAGTGCTCTCGCCTCGGCCCAACTGCATTTGAGATGATTTTAGTTTCTTTTATGAATTCTTGACATGTATCAATTTCTCATGGTTGTTACTATTTACGAGGGCTGATCATTTAATTCTGGGACTGATTTTCTTTCAGGGAAGCTATAACTCGCAGTAAAGTGGCAACAAGGTAGCACAGATGACAACTCTGTGTTGCCTGCATAACCGGAAACCGTCATCTCCTCAAATTTTCTCTGCAGAACCCTCTAAGTGAATGGCTACCTGCAGTGTGCGTAGCACTTCAAGATCGAGGAAGAGAAAGTTAAGCAGCGTCTGCGCATCAATTTCTGTTTCCGCCTCGGGAAAACTGGTGCTGAATAGTATGAAATGTTGCAAGCAGCTTTAGGAGAGTCCTTTCAAAGTCGATCAATGTGGCGATGCAGGCGAGTTGGTTCACGATTTCAAACTGGTAGCAGCGCGCAAACAAACGGAGACGCAGGGGAGAAATGGACAGGACTAGCACTCAACTTCAACTGAATGTTTAATGAAAATAAAACACCAAGCTTAACAACCAGACCGTCAGTGCATCAGCATGTGCTGATGCAGTGATGGTCTGGTGGTCTGACACAGACAGCATCAACTGACAGTTCCGTTTGGTGTTCATGCGGTTATATGAATGCAGCTGTTGCAGCATGTAGAAAGCATATGATTCAGCAAAAGTGTTGTAAGCTAGGAAAGTTGCTATGATGACATGGTGAACAGAACAGCACACAAAAAGACAAGGACAGAGAGAAGAAACGTGCTCAACACACAAGCGCTGACTCAACTGAATTTATGCACAAAGGGAAGAAGAGGACGTTCTGAAGGCATGCAGGGCACACAATGCGTGCCACACGCGAAACAACACCATTTAACTACAATGTCTTTACCCCGTAGCCCGATCTAAAAACATTTGAACGTAAAAAGTTTTTTCAACAGAAATCTCTCTGGTTAGGAAAATAATAGTCTGACTGAAATTCGGAATTGTAACCAAATTTTAATAAAAATAAATCAAAGTTCCCCGATGTTTCGGGACCAGCTTGGTCCCTTGGTCGCGGGTGACTGTGGGTTGGACAGAGGGGAAAGCCACTTATGTTGGCCAGTTGCGATTTCTGCGTCTGGGTTTCTCCACGAGGCGACGAAGCCCTGACACAGACGCTTGGGAGACTGCCCAACAACCTGTTGATGTTACCTTTTGTTGTCTGGATGTACTAGGATTCTAGGAGAAAACGTTCACGCCAGTGTCGTTCCGTGCCCAAGATCTCGCACTTGTCGAAGGACATGCGGAGACCCAGTTTCGCTGCGTATTCAGCAAGGGTACTGGCTTGAACGTCGTTCTTCACATCTTATTTGTGGCGGCAGAAGCGTTCTGGAAGTTCTTGGTTTCCCCCACGTAGGTTGCAGGTCATTCCGCGCACGGGATGCGCTGAATGAGGCCTTGATCTTTCTCCTTTCCCGGTCTGTCCTTGGGGAAGGGAAGTTGGTCACGGATGGTGGGCACTGGTTTGTGAGTGACTGCAATTCCATGTTTACGAAGGACGCGTCCGATGGTCTCGTTGACGTTCCTCCCGTATTGCAGGCACAGACGGCTCGAAGGAGCCAGGGCCGTGGAGAGGCGGGGACGGTGCAGCTTCTTGTAGACTCGACTAATCAACCTTTTGGTGTAGCCTTTGTTTTGAAGGTCGACCTTGATCTTGTTAACCTTTTCTCGGAGAGACTTCACCGTCGAGCACACAGACATGGCATGTCTGAGCAGCGCAATGACCACCGACATTTTGTGGGTTGTGGGATGGTAAGAGTCAAAGTTCATGTACCTTCCGGTGAGCGTAGGCTTCCTGTACACCGAAAAGGTAAGTTTGCCTAAAGTCTTCTTTACCCTGATGTCCAGAAACGTGTATTGAGAGCAAGCCCTTGCTTTGTTCGTGCCAAAGCCGAAGATCTTCCTTCGTTATGTAGACAATTGTTTTGCTTCGTTAAAAAGACAGAAATCGATCATCTTTGCCAACACCTAAATCTGGTCGAACCTGCTATTGAGTTCACGGTGGAACGCAAGAAGGATGGTGGGCTTCCGTTTATGGACGTCAGTGTAAAAAAGACTTCAGACAAGCTTGCCTTTTCGGTGTACAGGAAGCCTACGCACACCAGAAGGTGCTTGAACTTTGACTATTACCCAAAAGATGTCGGTGGTCACTGCGCTTTTCAGACGTGCCATGTCTGTGTGCTCGACAGAAGAGTCTCTCTGGGAAGAGGTCAACAAGATCAATGCCAACCTTCCAAACAACGGCTACTTCAAAAGGTTCATTAATCGGGTCTACAAGCTGCGCCGTCCCCACCTCTTCACGGGCCCAGCTCCTTCGAGTCATCTGTGCCTGCCATACGTGAGGAACGTCAGCCAGACCATCGGACACGTCCCTAGTAAACATGGAATTGCGGTCATTCACAGACCAGTGTCCACCATCCCTCACCGACTTCTCCTCCCCAAGCACAGACCGGGAAAGGAGACATTCCAAGGCCTCATCTATCGCATCCCGTGCGTGGACTACCCTGCAGCCTACGTGAGGGAATCCAAGAACTTCCCGGAACGCTTCCGCCGCCACAAATATGACGTGAAAAAGAATGACGTTCAATCCAGCGTCCTCGCTGAACACATTGAGAAACTGGGTCACCGTGTGTCCATCGACAAAAGCGAGGTCTAGGGCGCGGAACGATACCGGCGTAAACGTTTGCACTTAGAATTCTGGTACATCTTGACAACAAAAGGTAACATCAACAGGTCGTCGGGCAGTCTCCTAACCAAATATGTGTCAGGGCTTCGTCGCTTCGTGGAAAAACCCGGACGCAGCGATCGCAACCGGCCTACATAAGCGGCTTCCCCCACCCTCCCATTCAACTCACAGTCACCCGTGACCAAGGGACCAAGCTGGTCCCGAAACGTCGGGGAATTTTTTTTCTTTTTATTAAATTTGGTTAGAGCTTCGAAATTCAGCCAGTCGATCTAAAAACAAGGTTTCGGTTCGGTTTGATAGTCCGATCTAAAAACAATGTTTTGGTTTTTTTTATCTAAAAACAAGGTTTCGGTTTAAAAACAAACCAAAACCTTGTTTTTAGATCGGACTATGGGGCAAACACATTGTAGTTAAATGGTGTTATGTTGCGTGTGACACGCACTGTGTGCCCTGCAAGTCTTTCAGAACGTCCTCTTCTTCTTTCTTTTGTGTATAAATTCAGTTGCGAGTCAGCGCTTTTGTGTTGTGCATGTTCTTTACTCCCTGTCCTTGTCTTTTTGTGCGCTGTTCTGTTCACATGATTCAGCGTTTTGCTGCTCTGAGAGTACTCGAATAATCCATGTCTGCACCAACATAAACCTGAATACATACATGCCTTGTTTTCTCGTTCCCACGAAAGGTATTGTTCAGACGCCTGGCGATCCATTTCTCTGGGGAGGCCGTCTTCGGGATGGACCCAGCCGTGCTGACAGTTATCCGCAGTTTTCGTGCAGTCTGCCACTGGTTGCTGTCCTGGCCCCGGGTCTGCTCCTCCAGCGAAGCTATCGCTGCTGCGGTCAGTGCCACGTTGGCGTCGTAGAAGCTCTTGCATGGGCCACAGAGGAGCTCGCCGGAGTGGTAACCATGGGACTGGGGGCCTGAAAAGTTGTTCACACAAGGCATCAAGGAATGAAAGGAAGCAATTAAATTGTTTGGCATTACCTCTCACAACTTGAAGGGGAGCACTCTTCAGTTGGGCGTCCATCACAGATGCCAGGATGGTCCCCTCTATGTTCCTGAAGCCAGAGCGCTTGAAATGTTCTTGGAGTGCCCTATGACTGTCAAATTGGGGGAACCCAGCCTTGCCTGACTTGAGTCCGTAGATGACTTCCAAGGGTGCGGGTACCACGTTCTTTGCAGTGGAAGCGTTCCACTTGCACAGTACATCGGTGCATGATGACCCAGTCAGCCCTCTACTTGATGCTTCTGCAACCTTGAACAGAAGTGCTGCTGCGTGTGAGCTCGACTGCCCTTGCCCAGCCATACAGGAGCAGACGATGCTTGTGATCACATTGTTTGTGAAGGTGACCTGTGTCTCGTACAGTTTAGACACTGTCTGTGAGGACCTGACTTGGAATTGAAGTTCACAGAGTCCAGCTTCTGGACGCACGAGGATTGCTCCGACGTGGCCAGAGTCCAACAAGTTCGGCGCCTCGACAAATCCCTTGAAATTCTGCGATGGCTTGCCATCAATGTCTTGCCTGGTAATCATGTACTCGTAGATAACTGTAAAAAGGGTGTCTTAATCAAGCTACTCAAATTCAAAGTACATTTTAAATTTTGCTAAGAAACGAAGCGAAATGAGATGAGCTTTAAGCCTCTAGGGCACTAAACCTGCAACTCGGGCGCGTGTTTCACGGGGCAGTGCATGAGAGCGTTCAAGTCTCAGAAGCATGCACCACATAAAAAATCACAGTGCTGCATAAATCAACTACACCCAACAAATTAATACTACATGAGGGGCACTGGAAGATGTGGCATTACGTGGATAGCATTGAAATATGCCTATGCTCCCAGCTTCTGCAGCTGTGTGGGGAACCAGTCAAATGAAGTAAACAGAACAATTGACCGCTTTTAATATACTAGCTCAGCAGCAAACTCAGTCATGCACTTAAAAGAATCTAAATTTCGTCATATCACCAAATTACTACCGTCTCGTCCAGTTAGCTATATATACTGTCAGTGCCAACATGATACACGCTTTTTCGAATTTTACTTCGAAATGGTATTAGTGGCCACAACATTTTACCGCTTATATTAGTGCCCCAGATGACCACTTTCGATGGCGGCAGTAGTTTTCATGACAGCGTCTCGATTCTAAGAGAGAGACAGCTAGCTGCCAGCAGAAACCAGCGATTGCTTGATCGAGTCAACAGTGTCACGCTCTGTACGAACGCACCGCGAATGATCGATGAGCGGTAGACTTACACTTCTATTCCGCCACACAGAAACGACGTTTTACACGATTACCGCTCAAATACGTACAACGCTAACATTAAAACAGCGAGCGAGCGCCCGCGGAATACCCCACTAAGTAATGTAAACTAGACCGCGAGTCCGCAGGTGATAACTCATGTACCGCTCATCGATCATTCGCGGTGCGTACGTACAGAGCGCGACAACGTTAACGCGAACAAGCAATCGCTGGCTTCTGCTGCCTTTCTCTCAGAATCGAGACGCTAAAGCAATCGCTGGTTTTTGCTGTCTCTCTCTCAGAATCGAGACGCTGTCATGACAGCCTCTCGATTCTAAGTGAAAGACAGCAAAAACCAGCGATTGCTTGACGCGTTAACAGTGTCGCGTTGTGTACGGACACACCGCGAATGATCGAAACATTTACACTCCTATTCCGCCACACAGAAACGACGTTTGACACAATCACCGCTCAAATACCTACAACGCTGACTTTAAAACGGCGAGCGAGCGAGCGGAATACCCCAGTAAGCAATGTAAACAAGACCGAGTCCACAGGTGATAACTCGCTATCGCGGCGTCGACCGCTCTCAGCTTATCACTGGAATGCTACCCGTTTCAGTCATGTCACACTCAACACAGTTCACATCTTTGATACTTACATGAGCGCTGAATCTTCGGCCAAAGCTTCAGGTCGTCCACCCACGGAAGGGCCATCGCGGCCGGTGATCGCGTCGCAAGAATTACCGACGACTCCGAACGCAGAAAAACGTAAAAAAAACACACTTCAAAAGCGATTCCACAATAACAAAACACAATTATATAAAAAGAGAACGTAGGACAATGTAATTTACAGGAAAAGAAGGACGAGAAGCGTGGAAACAATGAATCCGGCAGCAGGACAACAAGGCATACGGAGGCGAGTGGAGGGGTGTGGAGAGGAAAATGAAGCAACCTTATGGCGGAGGGGTCACGTGATTTAAGATGGCGACGCCCATAGAAATTTGCGTGAAAAGGTCTATAGGTGAAAAGGTCTATAGGTCTATAGGAACATAACGCAACGCTGCGTTATGTTCCTACTTCAGGAACATAACGCAGCGTTGCGGCCCGTTGCATTTGCGAGTCAAACTCTCACCGCGGCCGAATGTAACTATACGGTAACCGAAAAAAAATGTCTAGCTATAATATTCGCTTTGCGAAAGTTTGACATGTACCTAGATGGAGCGACCTTTACCACACAGACCGACCATCAAGCATTAACATGGCTGAAAAACCTTAAACACCCCGCTGGACGCCTTTATTCTCCTCCTGAAAAGGAGGAGAATAAAGATGGCTCGTGAGGGCGCGTCAAGCGAGCGCGCGCTCAGGACGAGCGCGGGTTAGAACGGGTTGGACACCAGCAAAACGGTTGTCTGTTCTTGAGTCTCCACAACTTTGAATCCTGAACGGAGACAATTAGTATTTTTGTGGAAGGTCAACCTGGGCAATGTAGACGTATATTTCTGCCGGCTTTGACGGGGGTATAACATAAATATTGGAGGCGCGATAGATCATAATACCGCGACAGCTTCTAACTTTGCGAGACGCGTCCCCCACCTTTTGAAAGCAGACAATTTCCCTCATTAATCGTATGCAGCGAGCAGGATTTCCGAATCAAGTAATTGCGAAATCAGCCCCACTCCTTAGGTGTGGTCCAGAGGCTTTTTCGGCGAAAAGCAGCCAAGATGAATAGCAAACGCACCGACCGGCGCTGTTGGCTCAAACTTGAAGCTAATCGAGCACAACCAAACTAAAAAAAAAAAACAGCTATCAAACCTTTCCATTCACTTGACTGCAACATTGATGTTCCCTGCAGTGAAACACCTCGTCTGTCGTCCTCAGTCCACTGTTATACATCCCTATAAAGAAACTACTTGTCAGTTATTAAGTAGTCGTCACTTTGAACGTGATTCCAGACAGACAAGAAATCAAAACGTTTTTCCGTGATTCCTTTTCATCCAAAAAAATCGAAAGCACGCGACCGTGTGTTGTGGCGTAAAAAGGCTATCAAACAAGTGATTGAAAGAAACAATATACTGAGGCTTCACTACACTAATGAACACTTAAGCAAACTTAAGAAGTTTTCGGAGCTTCGTCAAATTACATTGTTCGCCACCGCGCCGACAACACGTGTCCGCGAAAGCCACCAAAGACGCGGAGGGGCGCAAAGCGACCGTTTCCGGCTGGTTCCCGGTTTTCCCGCTTGGTGGCGTCCGTTTTGCTGGAGTCACGAATAGCTCGCAGGCAGGAACTCTTCTCAAATCCTTGTTTGGAAGTTCGCCAGGCTGGCGAAGGGGGCGGGGCCTGCGACCCCAACCAGCACCTTGCGCTGGCTTGCAACGTCAGCGGGACAATGCGGTGCACGATGAACGCTTCCGAGGCACTGAAGGCAAGGTGGTACGTGTGCAACACGGTGAGAAAGTCAGTCACGAACTTGACGTCATTGTACCTTGTGTAGACTAAAACAGTAATGTGTGGTCGGGGCTCTCGCGGTGGGGTCTCCTGCTGGCCAGGCGTGAGGGCCAAGCGATGCATCACGGAGTCGCACATCTGCGTGACCTTTGTGAGTAGGGTCACTTGTGCCGCTGCGGCCGTTGCGGCTTCTTGTGCCCGTGTAGGCATGCCCGCACAACCAAAAAACGCCCCCCCCCCCCCCCCCCCCCCTCAGAAATCAACACAACCGCACAAATCAATTGTCATGGCCACAAAACAAACAGTCAAA